AGAACGCAGCCTATCTTAGGGCCCTTGCAGAATGCCAGTCAACAGGCAATAGGAACAGAGAATAGAAATTCTGATTGGTCAATTATTTCTATTCCTTGTTCCTATTGGCTATTGCCTGTTCCTATTACCTATTGCCTGCTATTGTGTAATGGCCCTTAAGGTTGCATTTCAAAACATCTTTTTTTGAGGAAATTTTACTCGATATTCTAGAGTGTATGTAATGAACTATAGGTATTGAAAAAAATTTACTTCAAAAAGGAAATGCAACCCAAGGCCGGTATTCAGAGTCAGATCTTATGTTTAAGACCGTCTGAAGTTCATCTTCAGATACTATACGGATTATTTCATTGGCTACGGAGTATCTGAAGATAAACTTAAAACGGTTTTAAATATAAAATCCGATTATGAATACCAGCTTATGAATGCCCGAGGAATTGGTTAGGCGACAATTTCCCGAAAAGTGGAAGAGATAATGTTGGTACCAAGGAAAATCTCTACACGATATAGGTTGCGTTCCGTTTCACGCATTATGCGCGCATTGCCTACAATATACGTAACATGAACTATAGATAAATGCGCGCATATGCGTGAAACGGAACGCAGCCATAATTTAAAGGTCTGTTCTTTGTAACTGCACTGCTGAACTAGTGCAATAAATTGAAGGGAGATGAGTTTCTTCTCATGGCTCCTGCACACAGGACGCGGTAATGCTTGCCACTCGACGGAAGTCCGCGCGACAGCCAATTAATATGTTGTTTTTCCGTAAGAGCTAGAAGGTTATTACGGAAAGCATTATATTGATTGGCTGTCGCGCGAACTCCCGCCGCGCGGCAAGCATTCCCGCGTCCTGTGTGCAGGAGCCATAACCTTTTGCATTAGTTCAGCAGTGTGCAGTTACAAAGAACAGATCTTTAAATTATATCGTGTAGAGATTTTTCTTGGTACTAACATTATCCCCTCTATTTTTCAGGAAACTGTCGCCTAATGCAGGATTCACACTGCGTCCGATGTCCGACATACGACGTTCGATATCCAATAAAAGAATAGCTTTCCAATGGGGAATTGAATTCTATATTAGAAAGCTGTTCTCCTATTGGATATCGGACGTCGTACGTCGGACATCGGACGCGGTGTGAATCCTCCATAAGGGTGCTATTTCATGTTTCGTACGACAAGCTTTTCGGATACATTTATTGGTTGGCGAATAGAGTATTTCTAGGTTCTCTGTTCGTCAATCAATGAACATATCCAAAAAGCTTGTCGTACGACATGTGAAATATCAGCCTAACCGTATAATACTCATCAACATATTGTATCGATTGAATGCATTGCTGTTAGTATGTATTGTCGATATTGGTTTAGTTTACATTGTGCATTTGATACGCGTACTAAATAGTAACTTTCTATTAGATAATCTTAATATCGACAATGCATATCAACGGCGACGCATTCAATCAATATAATACGTTTTCTTGATGAGTATTATATCAACTTAATATATCGTTGTTTATATATATCTTCGATATTAAGATTATCTAATAGAAAGTTACTATTTAGTACGCGTATCAAGTGTACGATGTAAACCAAGTCATTAAGATTACCTAATAAAAAGTTACTATTTAGTACACGTATCAAGTGCACGATGTAAACCAAGCCAATAGGTCGAATAATTTGGCGGGCTAGTGCGATTATAGTTATCTTTTTCATATATTAAGTTATCTTTGTTTGGTAACATTGCAGTTACCAAGGCAACTGCAGCTTTTAAATTGTTCTTAATGGCTGCTTATACTAACGAGGATAAAGTGTTTCGCATAAACAATCGTTTATGTTATTTTTCAAATAACGGAGCACATTTAGCAGTTGCATTTCAGTCGAATCTACTTATAAAAGACTCCAAGACTCTTGACACCCGTCACTCATTTGTATTCACGGATATAATACAGGTTAGGTCATGTTGACAAACTATGAAATTATTCAATCAAAAGATCATGTCATTGATAACAGTGCGCTTATTTAAACTTGTTTCTACGTTATAGTATATGGAATGGTCCCCAAACAGTGAATACATTTTGTGTGCAAATATAAAAAAAGCCATTGTTCAAGTGTACTCAGTGCATCATCCTCAGTGGAAATGCAAACTTACAGAAAGCAGTGCAGGTTTACAGAGTGTTGCTTGGTCTCCTGATAGCAAGTGTATTCTTACCATAGCAGATTTTAATGTAAGTGCAGTATTATTATTATATAATTATCATATAAGGAAGTAGATAATTTTATAAGGTCTAAATCCACAATAGATGTAATAAGTCTTTAGCGTTTTGTTCTAAGATCAATACTATAATATAATTTCTAGCAAAAAGAGCTTTCAATGCTACTAGAAGTCATAACAATACTAATGATGCATTGTAATGAGAAATTGCAATGTCGGTAGTACAGGAAACATTTTTTGTCAAAAATTATGTTACAGTTTTGGCCTTCAAGCAAGAGGCTCACTACAACTATTGTGAGTTGGGATTTAGATATATTGTAAGTTGGGATTTAGGTACATTTATAATAATATAAATAATAATAAAAGAAACTATACTTTCTATATAAGCTTGTATTTTAATATAAAAAAGGTTCAACATTTTACAGATTCAAATATCCATTTGGAACTTATGTGATCAGATTGTGTCGTACATACAAAATGTAAAAACTTCTGCCTTTGACAAATTACGTTTTAGTCCCAATGGCACAAAATTGGCTGTAATAATTACAGAGGAGAACAAAGATATAGTGGAAATTTACAAAACGGACAACTGGAAAATAAGTCGAGTAAGTATGAAAATAACTTTGTTGTATTTTCCATATAATTGTGTAAAAATAACGCAATACAACACAAAGTAGAAACTTATTGTAAAATTTACTTTGGTCTAGTTAAAATACTACACGCTATATTACACTTGAACCCTATCTCGAACGATATATCTCGTATCTTAACAGTATGGTCAGAACTACAACTCGCTAATCGTAATGTGTTAGGCCACTGTTCATTCCTAGGTTGAAACACGAGCTTTTTCACGGTTAAGTGATGAGCTTCAGAAGTATCATATTTCACCAATTTTGTCCATTCGACGACTTCACCGTTCATGGTTAACATGTAGATTTCTATATGTCCTATTTCAAATCCCATCGCCAAAACGTGAAATCCTTGTGAGATGAAATCCTTATGAGGCGCGAAACACACAGCTGTAACCGACTGGTTCTGTGTATCGAGGGTCGCCTCGCGAGTGACATTGTCTTCTTCTGTCCTCACGGACCATATACCGACTTTACCATCTCTGGACCCGGTTGCAAAGTAATTCGAGTCCATTGTCCAGGCACAGCACCAGATAATTCGCAAGTGTGGACTGTCATTTTTCGAGCTAGTCGCGGTCAACGTGTAACTTTCATCGTGCTTTTTGTACAGCGACCATTTCCGGTCTCTGGAGACCGATAATAAATACATGTCGTTCGGCGAGAATTCCATTTGCGTCACGGTCAGCTGATGTGAGACCAATCTCTGAATTTGTGACCACGTAGTGGTGCTCCACAATATAATCGCTGCATGTTCCAAACTTGTCGATTTGCATGCTGTAGCCAGTAGACTGCCGTCGTGTCTCGCTGCCATGCAAAATATCTCATAGCCATGTCCGTAAAGCTTCTTCAATTCCGGCCAAAGCGTATTTTGGGTCAGCTCCTCCTCCGTGGGTGTTTCATATCCCTCTGTCACTGGATTCTCTGCGTTTTTACACTCGGCGAATTCCTCATCAAGTGTCGCCTTGTTCGTTAACCCAAGAGAAGGCACAGTGGCCCTACGAGTTGCTACAGACTTGAAATCTTCCACGTCTGCCAGCGATCCCAAACGGTCTCTGAACGCCGACGTGGCTGTGAAAACACGTATCACTTTCTCTTCCGCTCCGGAAGCGTACATATACGGCGCCAACATAACCAGACACGACATGTCGTGTCCGTGAACTTGAGGACGCGCGATCTCGTGCCATCGTTCTTCTTCGTCATCCTTCCACAACGCGTGAATTCTCGTGGTCTTGTCCGTACTGGCTGTGAGGAGGAACCTGTGAAACATTTTAAATAATTTATCCTTCTTTTACACAGATTTGTAAAGCTACATATGCAACAATTAAGAAATATATTGCCCACATCTTAAAAATAATGAATAAATTTTGAAAAAAAATTATAAGATTAATTTCATCTAAAAGTCACAAATAATTTGACATTAATTTAAAGTTTGGATTGAAAGTTATTCCACTTTGAAGTGTAAACCCAGTAAACACAGTTGATGTCAAATGACGTCTTTAATGTCAATAATGTGTTATTTGCAAGAACTATATGGGTAATACATCTTAAAATATGCATACATACACATTATGTGTATGAAAAGAAGTTAGATATGTGGCAGTAAGAATTATGCTAGCTAAATTTCATTGTAACATATGGATACCTAAAAGTATAGCTACTAGTATATCATATATTTAGCTATGAAAGCAATGTAGTAACAGCAGCTAGTTTTAATTATAGCAATTAATTTCCAGCAAACTATGATTAGCTGCGACAAAGAAATTTATTTTGTGTATTACAAATTTGGAGTTTGTACAGACCTGCCTTTAGGTTCCCAACACAAATCGACTACTTCAGAAAAATGTCCACTGGGTGCAGATCGTGGAAGCCACTTTGCAATCTCTTGAGAATATTTCCAGATATGAAAAGAACCCTGGTAATCATGGCCCAATATATGCAGCCCATCTGGGCCAAACTTGCAGCCATAGAAACCCAGGGAATTACCACCGACTTCCCCAACACGTACTTCTTCTGTCCATATCTCAGTACAGTCGTCTAATTTCCATATAATCATGGATTTGTCAAACGAAGAAGACAATAGTTTCATTGATCGACGATCATGATTCTTCTTTTCCTGAGTTGGTTGCCAATGCACTCCATAGACCCAGCTTTCATGACCATAAAGAATAGTTTCCAAAGTGACATCATATTCTACATTGTCTATTGTGAAGATTTCTCTCTTCTGCATGAGCTCATTGTACAATGGTGTTGTGACAGTTTGACTGATTTTCCACAATCGTATCGTAGTATCCTCCGAGCCTGTCGCGAGGAAAATATCCCCGTTGTCGCAATGACAAAAGTCCATACACTTTACCCAATCTTGATGTCCCAACAGACTCTGCACTTTCACAAAATTCAATTGCAATTCATCCGCGGTGCATAGCACGACGGAGGAGTTCTCCAATGCTGTGGCCATCAGAAGATATTTGGTATTTGGTAGATGTGTTAAGCGACAATGAAGCGAAAATTTACCGCCAAAGTCCATAGTCTGGACGACTTTAATGTCGTTATTCTCCCTCGAACACACTTTCAACTCGTTACCGGTACCTACGCATACCAGCAGCCTCGAGCAAGTCGACGATGCGTCGTCAGTCAACTGAAAGGAGTCTGCCAATGTTATGGCACGTCCTACATCCAAACTCGAGGTATCCCGGAAGGAGTTGCTCTGGCGATCCTCACTCCAGATGATCACGGTGCCGTCCACTGAACAGGACAGCAACTCCGTTTCGGGTGTACCGTTTCTCGGCCTTATCCAGTGTACCGTGCTGACGTGCTCGCGATGTCGGTGCAACGTGTGCACCACGCGGCCGATATGTATGCATGGCTCGTATATCGCGATCGCGTTGCACGCGCCAAAACAAACGAGACCGTTACTGGCCCAATCCGCGCAGTGAGGCATGCGGTTGCACGAACAGGATATATAACGCGTCGTCGATATCATATCGATATCTTGCGTGATGTGTGTTGTTATGTGAGACTTCTCGACAAGGAGCTTCAAATGTCGCGAGACTCGCGACCACAAGCGGCATTGCTCGAATTAACAGGCATGCCAACGGTGTCGCCGCAAAAAACCTGAAGACCAATCGTGAATCTTTTCCCCTAGTGTGAACTCGTGAAAAATTAAAAAATATTGCAAAATTATTCATCTTCATGATTTCATATTAGAAGAAAAAGTTACATGATTGATAAGTGAATCGAGTTCACGTAAAAAGATTCACGATGTCTGGATTATCGGTTATATATATTCGCCACTAGCGTAAACTCGTGGAAAATTTCACGTGTAAATTTTCACATTTCCATTATTCGTGAAATTACACGATTGCTAAAGTCGTCGAGTGCATGTAAAAAGTAAAAAAAAATTATATGATCGCTACTCAGAAATTCTGAAGCATAAAGATGTTGCTTTCATAAGTTTGCGATTATTATGCAAGTTCCTAGAAAATACATCTCACCAGATTGGCGCGTAATTGAAGATCTCGAAATTGTTGCAGAAACTTATCTGTGATCGTTTACGCAACATCGACGGGATACGCTGGTCACCGAATGATGAATTATTATGCATATGGTGTTCCTCCCCCGCCGAGCCTAAGCTGATCGTTTATTCCACTATATGGGAGAAACATGTGGTTGCGTTTTCTCCGTTGGAAATTGCACAGTCCGAGATCGCATATAGCTCTGAAAGAAAACTGAAAGGAATCGAGAATATCGAATGGATCCCCAGTGGACAATTATTAGCTGTAATTGGATTTAACGAAATGGTAATTTATCGCGTTGTCAAAAAACAGAATAATTGAGTGAGTTCACCGTCGTTGAAATATTCTTCGAGATGTACTATGAATTTAAAATCCTTATTGTAATCGATGATCGTGTCCTCACTTTTATTGATAAAAGTGCTTCTAAATGTGATTTATAAACCTTCTGATTGGCTTATAAGCATTTTCACCGATAAAAGAGAATTCAAAATAAAAACCTAAAAGAATAGCTCAATCAGAGGCGATAATCACTCAACGATTGCACAACTATTATATTCACTGAACGCAATTATTGAGTTCTTGGTGTATTTATTTTACAATAATTTTCATATTTTACCATAATCTGTATGCAGATTGTCCTTCTTAATTATATTACATGGACGCCATTATCGCAATTATATCTAGATCCAGTGATCAGGGAATGCAATTATTTAACGAAAGTTTACAAGGAGCGCATCGATTCGGGAGAAAACCCGAGTAAATGTATAGTTTCCTGCAACGAACGTGTTCGTAAGTAAAGAATACCAAATAAATTTTAATGTAATCCAATCATCTAAATTTAGACGGGGAAAAAATGTAACAAGATATATAGCTTTTAAATATTTTATTTATAATTGAAGCGTATTTAATAGTTTTGTTAATTTCAGTTCGTGAGATACATGAGCGTCCCATATACATAGAAATTGGAAAAAAGAATGCCAGTAATAATTTCTCAGTAGCAAAAGTTAATCTATTTGAATTCAGTGGCTGTGGACAGTACTTGGCTATGAAACATGAACTTTATCCTACCACATTGTGGATATGGGACATCTTTACCGATTATCTTGATTATTTGTTACTCGAAAATCCTATTTTGGGTATGTTGTTGAGGTATCAGTCGACTCTCTTTTAAGAACGATATTAATGTATCGGTTGTATGTAACTATAGTTATATTATGTATAGTTTATTTGTAGCCATCAAGTGGAATCCCGTTCACCCGCAATTACTGATATTCTCCGAGTATACGACACGCGTATACGAATGGACCCGAAAAGGCGCGAGAATGCTGCCAATGTCGAAGTACATGTCGGTCGTAGACGCTCATTGGCATCCTACCGGAGACAAAGTTGCATTATGCAGTTACAATAAGGCGATTATTTATGAAATCACAGATATATCTTAACGAATAATAATTACTTTAAATATAGGCTTGATATGCTTGTTTTTGCTGTATATGATGTCATGGAATATTTTTTCTATATATTTCACAATATAGTATTTCTTATATTTTAACCTCCGTAACTTTAATTCCTTATTACGCCGAATTTCAAAATGTTTAAAAATTACT